TGACGCTTTCTCTTAATGGGCCGAGGAGAGTTTGAATCGAATCATTTCATCGATTTCAGGTTTATTCTCTCTTCAGGTTCTTCTTCTGATTCAACCTTCATTCGTTTCTTTTTTTTTTTTTTTTTCTTTCAAATATTCAATTTTTCCGATCAACTTGTCAGAGCTCGAACTGTTCGATTTTTACTCTTCCTATGAAATTGCATTTTCTTTTCAGATTGGAACGTGTGTATACACGTATATCGTTTGAATTTGTATTATTTTTATATTTAATGGTTGATGAATGGTTACGAAAAATTTTTAGAATGAAAGAATGTGTTTAGAGTTTGTGAAACTCTAAGTTAATTCTTTAATCGACTTGACAATTTCTTTATTTATAAATTTTACATTATTGCTTTTATCATAATGTATTTTTAAAAACATTGAAAACAATTTAATCGAGAAAGTATATTAAAAATTTATTCGAAACTGATCTGGCCAGATTAATTTTTGATTTCAATATTATCTAGTTAAATGATAGAAACTATTTAACAAAATGGTTGATCAACATAGTTGAAAAATAAGAATAAGCGTGTGAAATAATAAAATCACGAGGAGATAAAATAAAACAAATAAGAATAAGCAAGTGTTTGCAATATCATCGAGCGATAGCGTAGCAATAACCTGCTTTGCAAACTTTTGACTCGTCCTCCTTTCTGATAGTCGGTTCCCCATTGTGCTCCAACTTCCTTGCAACGACAAAGCGTTACGGCAAATCGTCGACCATAAATCGTCAACCGCGCTTCTCAGTATTTTTCATAACAAGGCGCTACTATCTTGTATCTCGAAAGTTGCTAAACGCGCGCATTCTCGAACGCATTGTTCTCCAAGAAGCTTATGCTCGTCTCAAAAGAAACAACAATGATCTCTCGTTTGAACCATTGTAATTTTCGACTTGTTATAAATCTTTGAAAAATGATTCACAAGGCATAGAAGAAAATTTTGAAACTGAATTATTTTACACTTGTTGCAAATGGAATTTAAAAGATTCGATTTTGAAAAAAATATGATTGGAGCACACGTATATATTTTTTCAAATTTAATTCAAATTTAATTCAAATTTGATTTGGATGTTGGATATGACAATTTATTAGTAGCACATTAATTTGTTATTATCAAGAATAATAAAAACCAATTGTCAATTTTATAATTTTCTGATTATAACCTTAATTAAGCTTCAAAGAACTCTCTTCATCAAACATCATCATACATTAGCCAAACAACTGAATATTAAGTAATAATGAAACACTTGATCATTCCTAAAATATAACGAAAGAACAAAAAGTGTACTAATTTAAAACATGAAATCCACTTGAAAATTCTTCCACAAAACAAACAACAAATCCTACGACGAGATTAATTTCTCTATTCCTTACCGTTCACAGAGTAAAACGTAGATCTCAAGAGAAAAAAAACCCTTTCTTCACGTATCTCTCCCCTTTACTCGCACAAGTGATCGCCCTTTCGAAAAACGAGGATCATCCTCGCGGAATCGAATCGAGAAGTGGAAAATAGCGCGCTGGGGAATGCGTTGGCAGTGCATCAACAAGATAAGAAAAGTTAGGAGAGGAGAGGAGACAGAGGAGGAGGAGGAGAAAGAGAAAGGGTGGAATGGACCACTGCTTTGCTAACGGCGTGCATAAAACTCTGCGCGCCCGATACGTGTACTTGGATGGCAGAAGGTCGATGCCGATGTATCGAGCCGGTCCTTCCTCCCGTGTAATCGTGATATACAGCCAATATTACGGGACATATAGATACCGCAACAATGCTTTCAGACGCAGCGGGGTAGATGAAGGAAGGGGAGAAAGGGTTGGTCGGAGAGAAAAGTAGGATTAATCCACGATGTGTATTGGAATTCTGTGGCCGCCGTCCCTGGCTAGTTCTTCCGCCATGCTGCGCGGAGAAATTAGAAAATTTTTGGGGAACACGCGTGGAAGAGTAATGGCCATGTTTTGCACGATGACGATTCATAAATTCTACCAACTCCTTCGAGGAATATTTTTTTCTATCGCGGCGATTTTCATTTGTTTGTCGAAGCAACGAAATTCATGGCTGTGTTTAACGTTTGGTAATTATGGAGGAAGTTTCATTTTCATGGTTTTTTTTCCTCTTTTTTTTTTGTAATCTCTTCTAGAGTCATTCTTGTAGAGTGAGAATAGTTTGATGTGGAAATTGATGAAACCTGATATTTTATTTTTGATTTTTTAAAATTCTTTGTATAATAATTCTTGGATATTAATAATAAATACTTTCCTTTTTAATTTCTTGTATTTTTATTAATTTTTTAAATTTTTCTTTCAAATTAATCTCGTAGTATCTTGTATTTTATTGTATGTTATTGTATTTAGAAATTTGGAAATTGTATAATTTTTTATTTATTAGTCGATGGTCTAATGTTAATTTATTCTTTGAATTAATAAATAGAATATAGATAATAATAGATCAAAATATTTCAAATCAATAGTTTGAAAGAAAAAAGAAAACCATTTGATATCGTGATCAGTTTTGCATCAAATACGTTTTTTCCAAAAATAAACGAGACAAATACTCGTGAATACAAATAGAAGTAAATCTATGAGTTACATATATTTTGTTCTCTACGATATTTCGAACAGTTCTCCACCATTCAAAAATGGTATATTTATTTTACATAGTTTAGTTTCTGAACGCTACCAATAAACACAAAGGTTCGAAGAGAAATACGAGTACACAGGACAATGGTTTTGATGTTTATAGGATTGCCTTCTACATTTTTTTGTTCCTTTTTCCCCATGTTTTTTTTTTCCTTTTTTTTCTCCCTGCCTCTCTGTTTGATCCCATATCCTATCTGAAATCGAATATATCTGCTCTCTGTTGTATAAATCTGCAGAGAACGTTTGCCGACCTATTGCGTTTCGTGCCTGCGTATTTGTTAACAATGCGGTTGTAACTGTAGAAACAGCGAATGTATGCACTGCTAAACGATGAAACACGTTAGACCATAAACGATCGTTCGATCGAAACCATTCGATCTCGGATCGAAAAAGGTTCCTTCCAGATAAAACATGTGAAAGGAACCCTTTCATAGGGAAGAGAACCAAAGCTAGATACATCGCATATTTGCTCCCAATGGAATAAACTATTTTATCAACGCGATGGGGAAAAACCGATATAGGAGGTATTCTACATCGACAGAAATTTCGACACGTTTTATCAACGAATCTTGAAAAAAAGGAAACAATATTTTCAATTCAAATCTACTATTACAAATTAATCAGTATCTTTTTCAATAAATTTAGTCATTTGACACACTGTGTATTTTATTACACTACATCACACGATTTGTATTTGTTAATAATTCGATATATTAAGTAGAAAAATAATGTACTTTCCAATTTTTTAAACTCAAAATCTTAACAACTCGTTCATTCAAAAATTACCACCACAATTATCTCCATCACGCCATGAGCAATAAAATTCCAAAAAAAAAAAAAAAAAAAAAAAAAAGAAAGAAAAAGAAACTTACCATAAAAGGAATCCATTATCACCATCACACGTCATTACGCCACAATTCCCATCATCCATTCTTGACAAACCTCATTGTCAACGAGCTAGAAGGGAGGCTAGAACCGTCTCTCTCCACTATATAAAACTCGACGACTCCGCCACTCTCTCCTCTCCCACCCACAGCGTATCACGATCCATCGCTCCTCCCTCCAGCAACGAAATAATCGAACAACGAGCAGGCGTGTAATTAATCGATCACGCGAGAAATATCCGCAGAGACAGAAGTCTCCATGTACTTGGACCGCATTCCTCTCGCTTGCGTTTGATCAACGCTTGACGCCCGATCATTATTCGACATATGGACTACAGTGGCTTGTTCGATGATCCAATTATAGAGGCGCACGAGTTTCCACCGTGTTTGGCATACTTGCGCGCGATCTGCGTTTGACGCCGGTTGATTCATTTCCCCCTCCCCCTCCCCCGCCCCCGTGTTTAACACCGAAACGCATTTTCCGCCGGTTAATGCCGTCGTGAAAATCACCGCCGCAGGAACATTGAAATCGTCGCGTAATTCACCCCCACCCTCCCCCCAAACGTACAATGGCGCGTTAGATTTTCAATCAGATGGGGGGAGGAGAGGAGAGCGTTCACGAGCACTCGTCGTAAAAATCTGCGCGCGGTTTCGACGATGCCTCGAGCGACCGATTTAAACGCGGGCCGATTATTTTCGGAAGGGTTTCATCTATCGATCTGCGCTTAATGGAAAGATTAATTCGATGCATCTTTGAAGTGAATGGTTTCTCAACTCCGATGGATATTTGGTTCGTATTTGGGGGTGTTTCTTCTGGGGAGAGAGGGTGTTTTTTGGTTTTATTCAGTTTTACAGGATTTTTGATTGTTATGAAAACAGATTGCTCTTCGTCTCTGTTTGGAGTAAAAAAAAATGGAGTTTGTTTTCTCGTGAATGAATGAAATTTATCATTCAGTTGATAATCGATCAATGAGAAAGTAAGTCGAATTGTAAATTGATATTGTACGTACGTTTTAGAATATTTCTGCGTACGTGTCATTCTGTAATTCTTCGTGACATTTTCCACATACCGTGTTCCAATTTTCCATGGATTTTCAATTTCGAAATATTCCTCGATACGAGGAAATCGAAACAATTTGATTCAAGTTTGAAATTTAAAAATTTTCTACGAACAACCGTGGACAATCAAATATGGCCAGTTAATTTTGATTTACAATTTCGTAAGATGAAATTCTATTGTATTTCTAAAAACGAAGTTTACAATTAAGTTTAAAATCTTAATATCAATTCCATGTAGTAAAAAAGAAAATTACTAATCTTATCATAATTCAGATGATCGAATTTAAACTTTCGTAATTTCATAAGATTATCTCTAATCTCTGAATCAAAATTTTCACACCATATTTGCAAAACAGCGCCAATTAGTTCGATATAAAAAGAGCAAAATTCTTAACCTTTTAATTAAATTCTTCCATTCACGAAAGAAATAAGTGACTCCACACTTTTTTTCTCGTATTATATCTTCGTCGATTAACAAATCATCCCTTACCTTCTTCTATTCCACTTAAAAATTTAAAACAATCGATACATTTGTACCAAGTTGAATTGTAAATGCGGTAACAACTCTTTCCTCCTCCTCTTCCTCCTTTTTCGAGCGCAAGAAAAGGGCAGCGCCATTATAACCGTTGCGTTGGCGTTTCACTGCGACGAGAAGAGGGTTGGCCGGCCAAGTAACGAGGCTATCCGTAAAGCTGAAAAGAAGAAACGACTCGAATGAATATTGTGCCGCGAGATTGTAATAGGTTGAGAGATGCGCCGTCAAAAGTGGAAAGAAGTTTCCTCGAGATTTGTATTCCTGTCTTATAGCTCCCTTCTTCTATGAATCTCCCTCTTTTGCATTTTCCTTAGCGCGTGTCTAAAGGAGCGCGTATTCAGCTTGTCTTATCGTCGCTCTTTTGAACGATCCTTGGAAGAAAAAAAAAGAAAAAAAATCAGCGAGTCCGAGTAACGAGAAAAACGACAGCCTTGAGAGACTTTAACTCTTTTGAAACTAGAATTATGCATATACAGTTATCTTTGCTGTTACAATTTTTATTTTAGACAGTTCACAAAGATATATGCGTGAAATTGAAATTAAAACTTTTTTCTAATATGCGTGATTCTTTTGATCGATTTTTAATAATTGTAAACATTTAATAAATCTGTAGATTTTTTATCTTGAAAGATTGTCAATTGTATCAAGTATTTTTTTCTAGGTTCTTTTTTTTCTTTTTTTTTTGTTATTGAAAATTCTGGAATACCTTCCTCTTGTTAAAAATTTGACCACTTGGTTCCATATTTTCTTTCGCGATTTTAAACTTTCTTTCACGGATAGTTTGATAATCGCTTTAATCGAAGAAGTTTTCTGCGATTACGGATTCTATTTAGGGGAAGGAGAACAATTTATTACCCTAAGAAAATAACCTCAACGTTCCATAATGCCAAACTTCAAATGGCTATAAATTTCAAAGCGTTTCTTCTAACAAAGAACCCGCCTTTTTATAACGCCGGTTTAGTAATTTTCGCGCCTGGATATATTATAGTTCCCTTCCTTTATCCTTTTTTTCAACGTCGGAGTGATGCATTCACCAGCGTAAATCCACTTAAACAAGAATCAAAAGAAATATAACATACACGAGTCGTGTACTTTTATTCCCTCTACACT